GTAGGGCTTTATAGTTTGTTAAAGTTTGGATGCCTTGCCAGAGACTCTGTGTGTCTCTGGTGTTGCTGAAATTTTGAGATATTGTATTGCTGTATTGTTGTTTTGCTTCCCTGATTCCATGGGACAAGTTGGCTCTTGCTGTTGCCAGGCCTGCAGTGTCACCAGCTCTAAAGGCTGCGTCCCGAGCCCTCAAAAGCTTGTGCACTTCTCCTGTCAACCATGGTTTCTGGTTAGCCCGAATAGTGATGGTTTTCCTGTGTGTGACGTCATCAGTGCACATTGAGATGTAAGCAGTAACAGCTTCAGTATATTCCTCTATGTCTGTGTGGTTGTTGTAAGTTGCTTCTTCTTTAAAGATGTCCCAGATGTGACACTGAACAGTAATACTGAAAATTCAGCTTTGACATCACAGGAATAAATTACATTTTAAAAATATTCTCAATTCTAATATTTTTTAATTTAAGTATTATGATTATTAAAACATTTTAAATCCTTATACATATATAATTAACATTCAAATATTATGTAGAATAAACATAAAATGTAATAAATTCAGTTTCAGCTAATAAAAAGTCTACCTCAGCTAATGGTGTAAACCTTATAGGGAGCCCTATTACTTGCACATTTCTATGATTAAAGGTTACAATTAATTGCTATTTGTTTTTAGATATAATAATCAACACTCAAAAAAAAAAAAAACACACAAAAATGTAAACGAGGTGTGGACACACTAATGACTTGCTTGAAGTAAATGTAATTCTACCTGTAATTTTGTTTAATGCCTCCTATACGTAAAATATGTTAGTTGTTTAGGGCCCCCAAACCACCAGGGGCCCCCCTTGCTCTCAGTCAAATTATGTAACGTATCTGTAGTAATATAGAGTCTCCTGCTGGATGTGCTTGATACTAAAAAAGAATTGCGAGCATATTGAGCTGCGAAAGAGACGCAGAATGAAACAGACACAGAAGTATGGCACTTTGGCTTCAGTACACACAACAATATGTCAAAATATCACATTCATGAGTTTTCACTTCAACACATTCAGTTATGTCATAAGTGAACATAAACAAAAATATTGGATGTGTATCAGTATGGATCTGTGCATTCAGTCTTAGAGTGTTTTCACACCTGTAGATCGATTGCTTTGTTCCGAAACAGGGATTAAAATTATTACAATGTTGCTTTTTATTCTTGGTGCGGCTCGCTTTCACCCGGCAATGTTTCTAAACGGACCAAATTTGTTAATACGAGTCACGCGCGAGTAAACTGTTCTCTCATTGGTCAAAGTTCCACGGTTTATTTTCCGGGATTCCACTTAGCTGTCACAGCTGTCATCCGTCAGGATGGAACGACAACAGTTTCGCGGGTTTATTGTTGTTGTTGTTTTTTTTTTTTTTGTGATGTCATTATATTAATTTATCACTTTGAGCAGGAGTCCATGATTCATCAGGAAAACATTTTGAAAATGCACCTACTAGGAAGAAGAGCAATAAGACGGCATTATAAAAT